GAGTAGTGTTCAACCCAATGAGACATCTGCTTGCTTCTATCTGTAATGGCTTCACCGCTCTGTGATTTGAGAGCAGCAACTTTGTTGACAGTAGGGCCTAGAGCTTTCTTCAGACCATCATATATGACTTTTAGGTTTCCTGTGTCTCAGGTTGTCTGCATCTCTTCACAGAGCTTAGTCCAGTACTGATTTGCACAATGCCTGGTTGCTCTCTGTGACAAGGGGCAAGCTAGGGGTCAGGTCCCATGCCGGCCTGCCCATCTGTCTTTATGGGGCAATCCACCCTGTCTCTCCTGCCATGACTTTGGTGTTCCCATAAACAGATGGTCACAGAGCTTAGTCCAGTACTGATTTGCACAATGCCTGGTTGCTCTCTGTGACAAGGGGCAAGCTAGGGGTCAGGTCCCATGCCGGCCTGCCCATCTGTCTTTATGGGGCAATCCACCCTGTCTCTCCTGCCATGACTTTGGTGTTCCCATAAACAGATGGTAAATGTGGGAGACTGTCCATTACATGCCCCGATGCCAGGGGGCACTATCTGTGGCTCTGACCTTGCCTACACCATAGCCCAGGCTTCACAGATGGCATCCACATGATGTTCTTAACTCACACCATCACTGGTGATCCAGGGTCTCACAGGGACTCTCACTCCCTCCTCTTCGCGCGGCCCCCCCCCTCCCCCCAGCAGCAGGTCATTGTGTTCAACTACAGGTCTTACTTTCGACCCATACTCAGCCTCCTTGTGGTAGAGGACTTAGGGGGCAAGTCCTGACCCTGATATCTCTGACTGAGCCCCCTTACTTGGCCTCTGGCCCAAACTATGGCCTAAGGCATCCGAAGACATACCTTGGCCTACTCTCCTCACATGGGGTTCCTATCGTGCCCTCTCTAGGGCCCCTGCACCACACCCCACCCTGAGGTCTGCTCATCATCTTCCCAATCAACTACTCACAGGACTGGGCCTTGCGCTGCTTTTCAAGCTTAGTCCCAGTTCGGCCCTGCTCAACGCGCCCCTTCAGGCCTACTCCCATTCAGCCCTACTCTGTGCGTGGCCACACAACTCTGCCCCCTTCCCTTGGGCCTCATTACACTGCCTTCTCTCAGGGCCTCGGGGGGACCACCCCCATAGTCTCAGGTGGCACTCCATTTGCCATGCCTGGCCCCACTGCACTCACTCCCAGGGGTCTTACACCCCTCTCATGGGCTCAGGTGGCCACAGCCATGCCTGGCCCCCCTCCTGCCTCCAAAGCCCACCCAAAGATGGGGGCTGAGGTTAAGGCACACCTCCTTGCCTTTCACTGGGAGGTAACTGGCCTGGCATTTCCTGGGGACTCCCATGCCACCAGGAGCCCCACCAGGCCACCCTTCCCTGGCAGGGTGCAGTTTTAGGTCATGCCCAGGACTAAGAGCCTCTAGCTCCTACCTGCTAGATGTTCCATGCAGCTCAGCCAGGTGATGTTTCTGCCTGGGCTGGCAGCAGCAAACTGCTATGTTTATATAGGCAGCCAGTGTTCCTGAAGTCGCTTGCCACAACCAACCACCTGCTGGCTTCCTGACTCAGCCCTTAAAGTGGCAGGCACTGCAAGTTCACTGCCACACTCTCTGTACCTCATTTTTTCCATGTTAAAGTATTGCTTTGGTGTTCACTGTTTTCTTCTTGTTGTGTTCCAGATAGGCTGCGTTCTTGATGTTGATGAGAAGTAATAGTTCTTCTACATTTTCTTTCAACCAGTCCTTATTGGATGGTCTGTATTCCCCAAATGTAGCTTTAGCTGTTTCATAGATTGCAGTTCTTAAACTTTCCCAAATTTCCTCTGCCCTCTCTGGTAGTGACTTTCCAAGCATGCTGAATTCAAAAGTCCTCACAAACTTTTGGCACTTCCTCTGGTTCATGGTGTTAGTAGTATTGATTTTGGGCTTGCTCCTAGGTTTTGTTCTATATAGTTTCTTGGCTGTAATCTTCACTTTGCTAATGATTAGGGAGTGGTTCATGTCACAGTCAGCACTGTGGAACGTGTGGGTCTTCTGCACTGAAGGTAAGTCTTTCCTCCTAAGAATAACAAGGTCTAGTTGGTATCAGTGGCCTGATCATGGATGTTGCCATGACACTTTGTGACAATCTTTTCCAGCAAAATATGAGTTGGTAATGCACAGTTGGTTTTGGGCACAGAATTCAAGAAGTCATTGGCTGTTTTCATTCATCTTAATGATGCCAAATTGTCCTAGGCAATCTGGCCATGAGTTGTTGCCTGTGCCGACTCTTGCACTGAAGTCTCCAAGGAGGAATAATCACTCAGTTGATGGTATCACTTTGATGACTTGGTGCAGTGTCGTAAAATGTATTCTTCTTCTCAGGCCTGGAGCTGATAATGTTCACAGAACTGATGATCATCTGAAGTCTAAGTGATATGAAGTGCTCTGACCTCCCAATGGGTGTTTCTATAAGCTTTACCAACTTGTTACTCACAGCAAAACTGACATCATGCAGACAATTTTCTTAAGCGCTTTTACCCTTCCAAAAGAAGGTATAAATGTCTTCTTGGATAGAACCAGCATCTGAAAGTCTTGTTTCCTGGAGCACTGCAATATCAACATTGAGTTTGTATAGCTCAGGATTAATCCAGACTGACTTCCGTTTGCTGCTCATGTACTGTAGGTAGTCATCATCTGTCAAGCCAGGCCACATGGTCCTGATGTTCCAGCTTCCAAGCCAGAAAGTTCTTGGTTTTTTGTTTTTGCCAGGTGTGAGGTTTCCCTCTGCTTTTCAGCTTCTAGCCTAGTCCCAGGCACTCAATGAAGCAGAAAGACTGTGGCGGGGCAGCACCTCACTGTCTGGGGGCTGCCCAGTATTATGGTGGGAGGTAGCTGACAAGTGGAACATGATGATTCCTCCCACCGTTGAGGGTGACCCATGGTGCCCTCTATACCAATCAAGTGAGAGCTTCTAACCTGTAACTGCCACCTTCCGTGTTGTGTCCACGATGCCAGCAAGGATAGAGTATTCTCTCTGTGTGTTGTGGCTGCAATAGTCTGAGCAGTTGATATGGAGATGCTGCTTTGCCCCTGTATTAGTGTCTCCCTCAGCTTTACTGGTTTGTTCCAAAGGAAGGATGGAAGTCAATATGTTTGGAACCAGCTACAATGCAGGAGTTGCCAGTACAGACAAGGTTTTCCATCTGCCTGCCTTTCAGGGCTCCACCCCTAGATTGGTTGCCAGCTATGGCAGCAGAGCCCAATCTTCCCTGTCTGGATACCACTGACAAAATCAGAGTGGTTATGCTCATCCACTTTTTGACGGCATTTCCTCCATCAAGGATTCCACTACCCTCCTCAGATGCTCATCCTCCCAAAGCCATTGGCACTTCCTGAGGTTGCCAGGTTAATTAACCACCACCCAGCACTCGGCATTGACTCAATACACATGAACACCATGTGCCCCCAGAGGCTGGGGAGGCACGGCAAGCTCCCGCAGGTGGTGATGGCACTGTTGGCAGTGGGAGCATGGTGGCAGCAAGCAGGGAGCTCCTGCAGGAAGCTGTGGTGCCGTTGGCGGCAGGGGAGGTGGCGAACGCTGACTAGTGGTCTGCAACCACCCACAAACACTGCCAGTAGCATCGGCAGCAGCCAGCAGCAATTGGTGACTGCCCGCAGACACTGCTGGCGGTGTCAGCGGTGACGGGAGGTGGTGAACGGCCACCACCCGCAGATGCCACCAGCAGTGTTGGCAGCACCGCCAAGCTCAGGGGATGTGCATGCACCCATGTGCACCCCCTATTGGCTGTCACCAATGCCAGTACAGATTGTGAACCAACAGCAAATAAACATAACCAACTTCTATGGGTATTCTGGGTAAAGTATTTTGAGGTTACTGGTTCTGCATATTTGGAAGGATCTAAACAAAGTAAGGTTTTTAGGTAGATGTTCCTAGAAAGACTATTTTGAAGGTTATTTCATAAGAAGAAAAATCCTCAGCTGCTCTAATAATCAAGATATTTAATTACTAGGCCTAATCAATATCTTTGAGTAAACTTGTTTTCATTACAGGTATCTTTCCTGACTTTTTCCTAGGTAGCCTGTAAAATCTCAAAAATAGAAGGCTAAGAGATTTCAGATGTAGCACCATTTTCTTACACCTAAGAATGTATTTTCAGTTTCAAAATCGGGTTGTCATGGAAGACTGAAGAATGTGTTAGACTTTATGGTTGAAGAATATAATTTTTTTAGACAAGAAACTTAATGTAAGGTGTCAGGAAAGAAGCTCAATCCAAGCTTCTTATTAGGGAATGTTGAAAACTACTAAGATTTCAGACAGTGGGCGTGTCTACACATTCATTAATGCAGGTTTCCTAATGTGCATTAAATTTAGTACCTCTAATGTGAGGTACTAAATAAACTCACATTAGGCTGCCCTACTGCACAGTAGCAAAAGCACATGGTCTTTTAGTTGTGCTTAATGTGCAGTAGCCTATTTTTACTGGGTATTAGCATGGTTTTTGATGTGACACTTTAATGCACAGTAAACTGGGCTACTGTGCTTTAAAGCCCATGTGTAGACATGCCCAGTATGCCCAGCCACATCAAGCTTGCTTTCCATTCTTAGGGTAGCCAGAGAAACTTAAGCTGTTTATGCTTTAAAGGCCCCTCCAGTCTTTCTGGTGCTTATAGCTGCTTCTTCCTCAAGTAAGCAGCATTTTATCTTCTGTTAAGTGCTATTGAAAGAGTTTTACTTTAACCATGACTGGAGATTCTTTGTTCCAGCGTAGCAGCCTAAATCATCAGGGCAGTGTCTCCTGGTTTTGTGTAACTTTGATTAATTATTCATCTCTTCACTAAAAATAGAGACAATTCTGCTAGTTCTGACTGGCACAGCACTAGCTGCAATTCAGTTGAATGTTGCCATAAATACTGAAAAAAACGTGCATTTCACATACTTGTTGTAGAATAGGAATAGAAATGTGTCAAGTGGCTGCCTTGCATGGGAATGGAAACCTTAAACATGCCTAACCTTTGGGTGCTGTTTCTTCCTGTTTTTTCTTTTCTTCTTCAATAAGTTTCATCCTTTCATCGTACACATCCGCACGTGTTTTCCATTGTACCCTATTGTTTTGAAGACCGGCAAGCATAGGTGTAATTTCCTTGTGAAACCTTGAAAATTCCTAAACAAACAATTTTTGAATAAGTAAATTACCTATTTATAACGCATCGTGTTTTTAAAGTTTAAAAATGGATGAATAAAATATTATTAATAGGTGTAACAACCCTGCCACCCATTTGTGCTTTCACTTTTCTGTAGTTCCTGACATTTCAGCATGTGGCACATATAGTGAGAGATTTGTTTTGCTTTATGTGCTATGCACATGCTTCATTGGTATATGTCTAACTAGATGTATTTTCTACTGAATGGAAAAGCTTAAATGCAGTTGCAGTACCTACTGGGTGCATCTACAGGTGCCATTAAGGTAACATTATAAACTCCAGCATAGTTTGTGTCAGAGTTTATCATGGCACCTTAATGGAACGTGTAGATGATCAAACTTCTCTGGTCCACAGCTCATGTGCAAGTGCTGCTCTCAGGACCGCAGCAGTTTGAGCTGGGGTGGAGCAGCTCCGGACTGGCCGGGAGCTGTGGGGTCAGCTCTGGACCCCAGGAGGTGGCAGCGGAGAGGCTGGTTTGGGGCACTGCATGTGGAACCCTGTGGTTAGGCAGCAGGCAGGCATCTGACCTCCTGCTGCCTGGGCTGACTGGTCGCAGTGTACACCCAGGTCAGCATTTACACGTGCATTTAGGCACAGTTATTTTCACTGCAGTAAGATAGTAGACCGTGCCAAAAATCAGTTTGCTGAAGCTTAATTGCATCACACGTGTAGACTGTCATGCTTTACACTACAGCAAATTAGTCTACTGCACAGTTAAGCAGATGTATAGATGCACCCATTGGCTACATCCAGATGAGCAGAGCTGTGCGTTATGTGGTACTGCAGACCCATCTGTGGTGCCACATACCACAACATTTAGGTGTTCTCCATGCTGCAAGGTAGCAGTGCAGTGGGGTTTTTTTACCCTGGGATCTCCATGTAGAAAAAAGCGATGCAGCACATGGTGGAGGGGGGACATGGATAGCGTGCACCACCCAGAACCGAAGCCTGGCCAGCTGGAGCTGCACTCCAGCTGCCAACCAGACTCCAAGTGGCAGGATTGCCATGGCTGCAGCTCCCCGAGGCTCCCAAAACCCCAGGTAAGGTTGCTGGGGCAGCACAGTTGCTGGCCCCAGCCTCCCCTACCCCACTTGGGGTAACCTGCTGCACACTAAAGGGCATGTGGTACAGGCGTTCCTCCAGGGCACAAACATCCACACTTGTGTAGACACAGCCATTGGTACTATTCCATGACTGGTAGCATATTCTGTCATGTTACTAGTGGGCATCTATCAAAAACACCAAGTTGGTATAATAATACCTCAGTATATCAAACTAAAACATGCTAAATTATGTGCTGTAAATTATTACTTCTTTCCTACTCCTTCCCCTGTCCTTAACCACTTTCCCAGTCTGGCTTTGTTCCTGTTTAGAATAACTGTCCTGATATCTTGAGACTTGTACATTTACCTGTTGGGGTTACTTTATTCCATCTAATTCTTTTACCTGACCTGTTGGAAGAGCCTTAACCGTATGGTGCAGTAACTGAAGCAACTATAGTGCCTTTCAGATGATGCAGACTACTTCAGGACTCCTACTCCCTTTGCTAATTAAGACATTATTTTAATTAATTCCATATCTATCCACATGTTCTATCTTCACATTAGATGGGTTTGTGTAAATCAGACGGCAGTTAACTCAAACTTTTAAGGTACTGAGCAACTGCTAGGAGATGCTGAGCCTCTCAGATTCCACTGAAGTGTTCATTGGAGCTTGAGGGTGCTCACAAACTCCAGCACTTGCAAGAGCAAAATCTTCTATGCATGAAAAGCTTAAAATTATGGCCCTTATAATAGTAGCTAGTCAAAGAATATGACAGCCCGGCTAATATCCAGAATATTTTAATCAAACCTGCTCTTTGACCTTTTTGTCATTCAGAACCTTACCAAGAAAGAATAAAAATTGTTTTCCTTACCTTGTATACAAATGTACATACAAAATCAATGAAACCAACTTGAAGCTTGGGTAGTTCATCTGCTTTGTTTCTGTCCATCATAGGCTAGAAGAGAATATCAGCATTTACATTACGTGTTTTGACTTAATAATACAATTATTTTAACTGACCAGCCTGGCTTCAGTAGTTATCACATACAGAATGTAATACAGCTTATAATATCAAAAAAACTTACAATTGGCTGTTGCTGCAGCACATTTCGCTCTAGATCACCTTGCTCCCAGAATTCATTTGCAACCATGAGGGCAACCTGAAAATGCAAATATGCTGGGTTACTGAAATTGTAATAGTAAACAGTACATGTTTAGAACAAAGCTGGAATTCATTCAAGTTTGTTTTAGAAGCTATTGAATGAAAATGAAAATTAATTGAAATCTAGTGCAAGTTATTTTAAATACATCATTAAAAAAAAACTAATTTCCTTACAAAGTATCAATCTTAGAGTATTACTGGTCTCTCAGACAGGAGAGAGATTCATCCAGTAACATAGATCTGTCAGACAGAAAGAAAAAAATAAAATCCTATTATCTTAATTATTTTTAACTGAATTGTCTATCTTGTTGCTACAATGCTTATACTTCTGTTTGTGCAACTGATTAAGGTATCAGCTGAAGCAAATTACCCAAGATTGAAAGAAAATATTTAGAGAAGCACTCTTCACATTCTAGGTTTTGGAATATCAAGTTTCTAGAAGCAAAGAGTACTAGTAGTGTGTGTGAACTAGTAGATGAGTGCTTTTGGCAACCTATTAAGCTGCTTAAATACTGGTGCCAGCTCCCCTCCTGCAAGTGTTTTTGCTAACCATACAATATGCTTAAAAATGTTTGGTAGGAAGAGAGAATACTACATTTTATATATTGCAGAGATGTAAACATGAAGCTGATCTGCACATTTTTTCAACACATTGGAAAGGCAAGTTACAGAGCACGTACTCTACATTTGTGAGGCTTTTGCTAGTAAATCATATCTGCCATTTTGATGGCACTTGGGGGCTGATTGTTGAAAGCGGCATCCACATAATGTTCCAAAGAACTAGTGCCAGCATCATAAAATCTCCTAATAATTTGTAAGGCACATTACATTAATTCCTTTGAGCCTCCTGCAGTGGTCTCCCAATGACATCTTAATAAAACAGCCATTTATGGGTTAATGGATGTCCATGAGCCAGACCGTCTCACAAAGATCCACACTACCTGCTCACCTATTTACCTTCACCTCTGGCTACTAGCGGATTTCCTGACCATTAAACTCTTAACTTGCTTGGATGCCTTTTGGGAAATACACAGGGTTTTATTCTTTGCTTGAAAGATGTGTTACTGTGAATTAATGTAGAATATCTTCAATACCAGCAGAATCTTAAAAGGACTCAAATTCTATACTTAGAATAGCTCAAAGAAATACCCTAAGAGATCAGCTGTGATAAAGCCATAATGCCTGTAGGAATATACATTATTTAAACACTGGCAACATTTCTAAATACCGATGTAGAAAACTAGGCACTCAAAGCATTTCATATTATAGAATCTACTTTAGAGTGCTTTGGTTGTACTGAAATAGAGCAAGGATTTTCTATTGTCTGTGTGCTTAAAGTTTGATTTATGACCTACCAAATTAGTTCAAATCACATAATTGAAAAGCTGCCATTAGAAATTGGCAGAAGGAAAACAAGGATTTGGTAACAAAAATAAGAGCACGCAACAGAGAACCTCATTTTAAGGAAACTTTGTACTAACTACAATGTCATATTGAATGAAATAGTTTGAATATTTGTAATAGTTGCCCATTAGCCAGTTTCAGGAAGAAGACAAGATTTATCTTCTTATCTAGGCCATTGTTTTGGTCTACGTGTGGAAGGTCCTGACTTCGCTCAAAGTCTTAACTCTTGAATTTTATCTTTAGAGGCCTTTAACAAAGAGAACCTAAAAATGACCCTTAAGCAAATATCCCAAATTTTGAGAGATCAAACCCTAGGGCCTTTTGACAAGATCGGAAATAAAAAATCAATTCAGTGATGGAAATTCCTCAAAGTAATTAAAATGGTCAACAAAAGAAACTAATTACCAAGCAAAAAAAGCGCTAAAGAAAGATCCGAGCCCAGATTTGGGAGTATTGACAGGTTTGGGTAGGAGGGGCCCAAGACGGCAACTCACTCAATAAAAACTGTAACCTACTGTCCCAATTTGGAGGTAACCTCACTTGCAGAACAACAAAGGAAGAATCGCAAGTGTAGGCCGGATCAGACTGATCACCTGAACCACCCTCTCCATGAACACGAATCTCTTAGTTCACGCTGAAGCTGCAGAGCACCCGAAAGGGACTGAAGGAAGGGGACTTAGTCCTATCACTGCTGAGGCCAGCCCATTGAATCGTATTGCTGAGGCGAGCCCATTGAACCGTACTACTGAGGCCAACCCATTAAATTGTACTACTGAGGAATGAAACCATATTTAGGTGTTTGGCATCTCAGAATTCTAGGATTGTAAGTATATTATGAAAAATAATGGTATTGATTCAAATTTAACTGTTAGTTGTAATTGTAGTTGTTTTTGTAATACTAATTTTTATAGCATTGTTTGGGAACGAAGTGCGTTTGGAGCATTGTTTCTGATATATGTAATTATTGTGTTCTTAATGTTTGTGGTATTTCTTAAAGCTAAGCAGTGTTATATGCGTAGCAAAGAATTTTAAAATAAAATTGTGTTGTATGAATTAAGTGTGTAATCATTGTGAAATCGTGCAATCAACTAACTACTCCCCCAGCCAGTGTATCAAATGAATCAGTAAGTTGTGTGGGATTTTCTCTATTCCATAACCCACTAGAGACATACAAATGTGTGGATTTCTCCTGACTGTTTCACAAGTAGGAGGGTGGTGCCACAAGACAAGGTGCCACTGGATACCCTTTGGCAGGGCTTGCCTAAACCTTGGATTATTTTCATCTGGCCTTACTACCAGAAAATGGTTTCCAGTTCCCAGGGATCATTTATAGACTTTCTGGTTTATATTTAAGTATCTATAGATTTGCAATATACAATTAGTTGTTTTGAATAATGTTCACAATGAGACAGATAGAAATACAATTTTATGTACATGGAATAAAAATAGTTTATATGCTTATACAGTATTCTTGAAAATACTTACCTCACTTTGCACCTCCCAAGGCTTGGTTATAGCAGACAAGTCACATCCAGTCATCATCATGGCCCTTTCAGGAAACAGAAACAAGTGTCAGAATGAAGAAGGAAATAAGGGGACAATTTTTATTAATTTATTTACTGTGAATTTTTAGGTACTTAAATATTTAGATATGTGCTTAAAGGCATATAAAAAAAAGTCTTTCAGGTTCCCACTAATTCCAAATTGGTTGGGTGTCTAATAGGTGCTTAAAGCCATTTTTTTTTAAAATGCCTTTAAACGCCAATTAGACACCCAACCAATATAGAATTAGTGGGAACCTGAAAATCCTAAAAAATACACCTAGATAACTTATTGAAAAAAGAGTAAAATATTAAGTACATACATAATAACTTCTTTTTTGGTTGGGTCAATAGATATGTATTTTATTGCCTCCTCCTCTGTTTCCATTTTTTCAACTGCATCCACAATCTTCTGAAATATAGTCCTTTTCCTGTAAAAACATGTAGATACTTCATATATATGAACTATTGGTAGACAAATATGTTTGAGCTGTTACCAAAAATGGTATTTCATATGTTAATGATTTCCTAAACCAGCAGATTTGTTTTGCTTGTGATCTAAATCCCACTGAATTAAATTAAAGACAGTATTTTATTGACTTCAATATACTTAGCTTTTCTATAACACACAGTTTTTGCCATAGATTCCCACTGTGCAATACATTTATGTATGTGTTGCATTTCATTGTGAAAAGCATCAGGTTTCTCAAATCTGTATATTTAAATTATCTTGTGATATTTTTGTTTCTTGGATATTATCTAAATATTACTGGGCTTATATATCTTCATTCTCAATTGTTTCTTTAAAGTAATGAACTGGAAAATATTGAAATGATTATCATTTATATAAACTGTTTGAAGTAACATGCTGTGTAATTTTCATGAGAGGTGTTATAGAGACATTTCTGTCATCCCCTGTGGTTAGAGATTTTACCTCACTGGAAAAAGTAGTAATATACATGAAACATTCTAATGTAATTAGAAATTGCATTTACTCTTCATTATAAAAAGTGCATTATATATGGATAATTGACTTTCCTATGATCTACTAGCTCTAACAGGTCAAAAGTCCTTTAGACCGCTAAAGAAAAAAAGATTGTGACTTCTAGAAAAATGTAGCTGCCGTTAGGGTTTCATCCAGCATCTGTTTTAGTAAATTGAAATTTTTCTCTTGAATGCAATGGGTGCTAAATCAGCTTAGTGTGGTAGTAAACACACAAATTTTTCATACATTTTACACTGGAAACTTTTAATGTTTCTGGTTTCTTTTTTATCAGTTTAGTTTCCATGCCATAAGTCATACCATATTGAATTTTGTGACAGCATTTTGACAACTTTAGTATGAGTGATTCTAATAGGGTACCTGGAATATCAAACCACGCCCATGCCCACACCTTTACGATTGGTCTTACAATATCAATGTTTTAACGTTGTTTAATGCTTTGCATGCTCGGCAAAAGAGAGTGCATTTGAATGGCCAAATTAATGTACAGTAAAAGCTCCGTTAACCGGCACCTTACAAGCTGGCACGTTCTGTTACCCGGCACGCTGGCTTGTAAGGTAAAACGAAACCGGAAGTGCCCACCGTGGCACTTCAGCTTTCTCCAAGCCCAAACAGCCCGGGGCATAGCAGGCTGCACGGGGCCGCCTCCCTGTCCCTCAGGGCTTTCAGGAGGGGTAACGATGCCCCAGACACGGCAGGAGAAATAGTGGCCCAAACAGGCAAAGATGAATATTCAGGCTTCTCAGTTAAACGGCATATTTTGTTATCCGGCACCCCCCATTCCCAATGGGTGCTGGATAACAAAGCTTTTACTGTATTCTAACATCAGTACGGGACATGAGGGAAAATTCATGATTCATGTCTTGACATAAAAAATATATCTTGCTATTTACATGAAGCTTTAAAAAATTCAGCTTATTTCACAATCTAATTTAAAAACAATTCCATGTGGTGTTTATAATAGGGAAAGCAGTTTAAATTGTTTACTATTTTTTCAGTAGAAAATTATATAGAATTTAGTACTTACTTGAAATACAAAGCCAAGTCAGTTGCTATTATTGCAACCTCAAATAAATGTATTACATTGTCAAACTGGCGTCGATTCAGGTTCTGGAAGATGTTCAAACTCTGCAAGATGAAAAGTTTAGAGATTCAATTTCCCTTTCAAAATTATCTTTGAATTGTATTATACTGTGATGCTGCATTTGATGAATAAGGCCCTCTGCTTACAAAAGCTTATACTCTACATCTATGATTTGGTTAGTCTATAAAGTGCAACTCTACCCCACCTTAATCATAAAGCCTTTCTTTTACTTCAAGTTGACATTCAGCGTTAGCCATTCCATGAAAGCAGAAAAAGTATAAAGGCAAAGCTTTTACTCAGCCTAGTATTCAGGCAAAGATCCTGTTGTTATCAATGGAGTTGGATGAGTGTGAGTGACTGCAATTTGCCTCGGTGTTGTGCGAGAGTTTAGTGTTTATACTCTGTTGTGTGAGAGTTTATACGGTGTTGTGCGAGAGTTTATACTCTGGTTTCTCTTCAAGTCGCATAAATCTTTCGCCTTTAACTAAAGAACTTTGTAGCTATAGTCAGTTTTAGTCTTATCGTTATTTTAATATGGCTAATTGAAAGTGCTTTATGGGAGATATAATTCAAATACAATATCTAGCCTACAACCTAAGAATAAGAAATGAGTCAGAGAGAAAAAAAAAGTCAACCCAGGCTGCTTTGACAGGTCAAAACCTATGCAAGCTTTTGAATTCTTTTTAATAGATGGTATACATATACAAACCTCATCTTGTAGCAGAGTTTTACTATACTCTAGATGATGTCTTTCTAAAATGGAAGATCCATGAAGTCTTGCCAGTGGAGAACCTGACCTGTTGAAAAATAGGCCATGTTTACAGTATTTCAAAGTACATATTTTTTCATGATTGTTGTTTTAAATTAGTAGTATTAAAGTTGAGCTGCATATTCCACAAAGAAATTAGTTAACAATGAAACAATATATATGAGACTAATACCCAGTAAAACAATAAAATATTTGCACAACTTCAGTGTTATCACTGGGTGAAGATTAAAAGTTTTTCAGAAACAGCTGCTATGCCTCCAACTTCTGCTGAAAATCAGTGGGAGCTAGATGCCTAGTCCTCATTTGTGTTTCTGAACATTTATCCTATTTTATCCTGTATGCTTATTTTGTTGGTGGTGTTGCTTTAATCATTGAGCCTTCCACGTATAGAGAAGTACTTATATTCACAATGTTAGTATTTATTGCTTTGTATGGCTTTTGACCTTTCTTCTGCTTGGTAATCAATGTGGACTATGCCATTGCTTTTCTGACTTAGTGGGTGCATCTACATGTGCATTTTACTATGGAGTAGACTAATTAGCTCCACAGTAAAGCGTCACAGTCTATGCATGCACTGATATTAGGGCACAGTCATCTAATTAACTGTGCAGCAGGATAGTGCTCCTTGGGCCCTCTCCAGAAGAAAACACTTAGTTTTATGGACTGTCCAAATCTTAGAAGACATGGTCAGCCTGCTCCAGCTACCTTGGGTTAAGTTTTAAAAACAGATAATTCCAATTTTAGACTACAGTACTGAGAGGAAAGGCAAATAATCCTAACGGTACTTTTATTCTAGTTTGTTCTGAATTTGTGGGCTATGCATATCTTCTTTCTTTTCCTTGGTTAACGGTTCGGTTTCTGAAGTTAATCAAAGAATAATGTATACACTATATTAAATCCCAGTAACTATTAGAGATGACTTGCTCTCGCTGATCTTGTGAATGGACCTCTCAATCAGGAAAGGCTGTATTAAGAAGATTTGGCCTCATCTCCTTGAAGTGACAACCAGTTACAGAAGAATCAGTATCTCTCTCTACGTCACTTAGAGAATCCCCAACAGTAATCAGAAAATCCCCTAATGTCTCAGCCACAGACTACAATCTGAAACTCCATTCATGGAAGAGGGCAGGGGTTAGGGTTATTCTGCAGATACTAAGTATGGGGGAAATCCTCTAAAAGATTATGATTATAACCTCTTGCCACAGATGACAGCTTAGGGACTCTTTTTTGGCACAGAAGTAAACTCTAGGAATGCACAGCACAAACTGTGTGAAAACATGCCTGAAAGGTTTGTTGACATATATATGAAAATAGAGGCTTCTATTCTATATAGTGCTATAATAAGCACAAAAAATCCAACACAAGGGAATTTTTTCCCATTTAACATGGGGTGGAAAGCTCCTCATCTTGGATATGAGTATGGGGGAGGATGGGTACAGGTGGCTGCTGTGGCTCCAAGTCCAGCCCTGACCTGGGGTTGGAGTAACAGCCACAGAAGCTGCTTTGCCCCTGTAGTCTCTGTTTCCTTACCTGCCTCCCTGCTACCTCCTCTGCCCCTCCTGCTGCTGCTTACTGTCCATGGCTCCAGCTCTGGTCCTGCTCTGGTCTGGGGCAAGAGATCAGACTACTTGATTTCCTGATGTCTACCCCGCTACTGCTACTTTCCCTGCTACAGTTGAGGGAGATGAATTTTAAAACAACCCTCCAATAGTTAGATTCTATACATGGAAAATTACACAGAAAATGTAATAATTTTCCATGTATAGACTCTAGGCATTTGGGGTTGTCTTGAAAAGCAAAGTTGTCTTGGATTCCAGTAAGTATGGCCCTTTATACATTGACTGTTAAATGTGAAAGACATAAACAGTTTGGACATGTGCAGAAGTAGAAATGTAAGCATGTGGGCAACATTTGTTTTAAAAACTAAAATGTTTATGCATTTGGTTCCAGCTGAGTGGGGGTTTTCAAGATTAGAGGTGTGTATTTGGATAGGTAAATTCTTCCAAAATCCATTTTAATCTGGCCCAAAAATATTAGGGCCAGAACCTCATTCAGGCAAATTGATACAGCCTGAGTGAGGGCAGCAGAGCTATCTTAATTTATACCAACTTGGTTTAGCTCATTTCATTTTGGGAAAATAGATTTTGGTAGCATACCAACGAGGACAATATTTTTGCTTGTCTTCAAAATTAATCTTTTACCACCTGCAGTTTTGAGTCATCTTTTAACATTAAGAATCTGAAATCTCTTTAGTTGTATTTCCATATCACGCTGCTTTATTACTGTTGAAAGGTAATGCTGATGGCAGTAACATGAAAAGGGACACACAAAATATTACAATGAATTGGCAGATTGTAAAAGAAAATAAGTCAGTGAGGTTTTGTTAGTGTTCCAGTCAGTACAGTGTCCTTAGGAATTTGCTCCCTGCATACATAGGTTACCATTAAATGTTGCCATTGTTTTCTCTGCAATATTTTGAAAATCCATTTTTCCTGTCCATCCTGACAATTATGAAGCATGGTGCTCTAAGTAAGTGCTTTAAACTTCCACCCTAACAACTACATCCTCAATTGCTTCAGCCTTCCTGATATTCATCTTGCCACACCTGCCATTGAAATGTTTCCCCTTTGCAACAATATTACCCCTTTGGCTACTGATCTTATCTTGACTCAGCCCTATTAGATTTGCTCCACTGAATTCCCCTTAGGCAGCGTCTATACTAGTGGCAGACTGTGCAGTACCGTCCCTACCCGTTTTTTTTCAGATGCTACTGCACAGTAGCGTCTTGTGTAGACAAAGCATTCAGTTTATACTTCTAGAGTGAAACCTTGTAGCATAGCAAGAAGACAAACTAATTCCAAATCCTGGACAGTTCTAAGCCTGGAGAGGCTCTTGATGTAATTTAGGCCTGGGATCGGATATGGGGCTTGTAGGGTCTCTTGTCTGACATGAAAGGACTAGAAGAGGTTGTGAAAAACTTCTCTCACCTTTGATCCTCCCCCTTTACAGTCAGCGGGAGTTTTGCTGCTGACTTCAGTGAGAGCCAATATAAACCCCTAGTGAGAGCATTTTACAAAGCTCTAGTCTGACTTACGTCGTGTATCCTGCTGTGCTCCTGCTCACCTGCTTTGTTCTGTCAACAGTGTGAGCTCTACTACATTTTTTTCTATTACTATCATCCAACCTTTTATGCTGCCCCCTTAGAACTGAATGTCCATACTTGACAGAAGTTTTCCCTCTCTTGAGAATTAACTTGTGAAAGCATTAGCTATGTGAATTCCTTCTGAGGTGCTTCTCATGTCGTTTCATATTGATTACAAATACCCTGGGACAGAGATTCTCTTGCTAGCCCTGTTTTGCTTGGTTCTAAAAGAATTGTCCATGTTTAGGTGATAAATAAGTAGTTTGTTTCTTTGCAGATGGCAACATGTTCACATCTTGTATTTACCAATATAAATCTTATAGCTATATGGGGCGGGGGGTGTACAGATATGACTATATCCAAACTTACTTCATCTGATACAAATTATTTGTTCCTCTGTGATCAATATCATGGCAGAAAGCAGCAGCAACCATGGCAAAGGCTTCCAGATCAGTATAGTATTTCTTTAGTCTACCTGTCTATATAGGAGGAGAGACTCTGTTGAGTATATAATTGCTTGGATATTATAATCAGGTTGACAAAAAAATATTAAGTATTTTAATCACTAAAAATGTAAGATATGTTTATTAACAAAGCATACCATTAATAACGTGAACATTGTCTGTCCCACATTGAATCCATGTCTCCAGTTATGGTAAGTTATATCCCGATACCCCTTTCTGACTGTGTACATCCATTTTGTAAGTACCTGGTACAAATAAAAAGCAGTTGAGACTTAGTGCTATTAATCCTTAACAAAATCCTGGAAGTAAAATTAAGATGGAACTTCATCCATTTACAGGAAGACTTGCAACTTTTCCAAAGCTGAAACATTACTTGTAATTAAAATAAATATAACAACAAGACACCAATCTTAAATTCATATTGGCTTAATTTCTTAGTTATGTCTCAAACAATTTTACTGTTTAGTTTTTAAAATGTATAAATATATAAAAATAGCTACTTAAATATAATACTAGAAAAGTATATCAGCTTACATTCAATTAGCTAGAGATGGAAATGTTCTAATATTGCTTCAAACATTTAACTGTGGTGCAGGGCTTTTAAAAAAACATAAAAAGAACAAAACAAATCATACCTCTGCTGGGACTTTGAACTTTTCAACCACGTCTATCTCAAAGAATAATCGTATGCCGCACTTTATCAAGTTATTTTCTGTAACAGGGAAGTCACTGAAGTGAAATTCATAAAGTTCTAATTCCTTTGGATCAGGTAATTCTTCTTTCTTTTAGGAAGAAAGAAAAGACTAACAGTTTTTCTTGTAAGAGAAGACTAAATTCAGTTTTTACTTGCCTACATACAAATGGTGGGATCAGGCCCATCATTACTCTCATTAGTGTTTATTAAACTACTATGCTGTACTGTAGATCAGTGGTTTTCAACCTATGGTCCACAGACCTCTGGGGGGCTGCAGACTTTGTCTAAAGGACCCATGAAAGATGTCTATGATCAATCAGAAGTATGTGAGTACCCACACTTACAATTCAAAGGGGTCTGTACCTACATTCAAAATTTCCAAAGGGGTCCGCAAATGAAAATGTTGAAAACCACTGCTGCAGGTCATTGCTACTTTTTTCTTCTCAAATGAAGGAAACAGATAACATCCGGTGCTTCCTGCAAACTGGTGCTTTTTCCTCCCATGCATCCAATAAAATCCATGTTGCACTTCTGGTTTGTTTCATTATGTACAGGGTAAACCAATAGGTTTTTTTCTAGAGTCTATTTTTTAATTTCACATCATTAGTAAAGTAGTTCAGATTATTATTGGACTCCTCATCTGTGAGGTTTTAGTAAACCATTGGGGTAAACTATCAACTTCACCCAGTAAGTCCAGTGCAGCTGAGGGAGGGTGTGAAGATGAGGATGCAAAAGTCTCTCTCTCATGATGCACATCTCTGTGACTCTCTGATCCTTTTCTACGTTTCTTTTGAGGGGACCCCGTTCCAAGCTTTAAGCCTCAAGTTCTCTGCTGTTAGTTGGGAAACTTGTGATTCTCCCAGTATTAGTTCAGTTGCTGGGCTATAGTATCTTTGCAGAACGCAGGGTAGATTTGCATCTTATATGCTGCCTAAATCAGAGATGCATAAGCTTTTGTAAGCAGCAGCTTGCTTAAGCAGTGACTTCACCAAATGCTAAGTCAGTTGCTGCTTACAAAAGCTTATGCATCTTTGATTTACTAGTAGTCTATAAGGTACAAATCTACCCTACATTATGCCTGATTCTATACTAATATGGCTAACTACCTCTCTATAGTACCCTGTACACCGTTCAGAAGACCTGAATAGACTTGACACGTTCTTTTCCCCTTTTGGAGTTTGTGCTTAGTTTTGAGTACAGTGACCGAAAACAATCTTCTTAAAATAAAGTATCATTTTATCTTAACAGTAGGAAAACAACATAAGATACAAGGTTTTTAAAACAACAAATGCCTGCATGTACACTGTTTGTTTTGCCTTTCCTAGTCAGAGACCCTGGCCAGGCTAAGCATTCTTGACATATCCTTAACATATGGAGATCTGTGGATGACGCGGGGTTTCTCCTCCATGAGCATCTCACAAAGTCATTCTCTCTCAGGGACTGTTTGTTTAACTCCTCTTTCATGTTTTGATATTCCCCTCTCTCTAGTGGGGGTAATTGAGTCCTGGAAAAACCATCAAGAAAGCCCCAGGTAGGGACAGAGGTTGCATATGAGAATTAATAGCTTGAATGTTTGCTGAGGAACTCTTATCTAAGCTATTGTTTATCTTCCTGGGTAGCTTCCTGACCACCTGGTTGTTGAATTAACCCCATATATGCATAAAGTAAATATCTTTAGGATAGTAGGACAAATAAACAGAGCATATAGTGGTTATAAAGATTACTATAGCCAACTCTAAATCCATCCTGGAGTCATTCACCATTACTGCTCTAACTAGTAAACTGATGTTATGATGAAAATTGTTCTGAATGGCTCTTTAAAAAGAGACCCATTGTAATGTATTAATTTTGTAATTTTATATTTCATTTCTCTGCTTTTAAGCAAATCAGGGGGCCCACTTTGTGGAGATGAATTGGATCAGGATTAGTGCTAAGGTTACATTGCAGTACCTTGGTTGGTTGGAGATCATCTGTGAATTAACATTCACGCAAATGTATTTCCTCCTTTTCTCCCAAATGGAATTTCCCTTCAAATTTACTCTGGTTTGAGATCAGATTCAAAGGAATTTTCAATCTGAAGTATTTGCAGTTTTAAGGTCCAATGCTTTGTGAACCATCAACTCTAGATGCACCTGCTTTATCCCATTAGTGAGCTGGTATTTCTGGCCTTCTAATAGGATAAAGCATTTGTATATAGCCCTTGCACTGAATGAGATACTAAACCTTATATCCAGTATGCCACAATATCTAAATAAACTAGTTTAGTTTAGTTTAGTTTAGTTTAGTTTAGTTGCTACCCATTTAAAAAATCCATTTCAGTACTTTTTTTCCACTCAGAAGTCCACAGAAAGCAATAAGGCACCTTGTTTTACAGTCAGAGATGTTAAAATTTAACGGCAATTTAAATATTTAACACTCAACTAATTTAAAAAACATTTACTTTAAAATGTGATCTTAAAGTATGTGGTATATAAGGGGCTATATGAGAATCTGTACATGACTTCTGAGTAATGCAGTCATGCCAAACTGAAGACCCTACACTGTATCCACCATACACCAGTGTGTGTGTACATATAACCAAATGTAGTTTAAGAAGATTGTTTAACTATAAAAACTATAATTGCATGTAGCTGTTTTATGTAAATTGATGTCTGCACATTTTTAGTGGAAAGAGGGATAGAGGGGAGGAGAGTTACTTCTCCATATAATTATGGCTGGAAAAAAACAGGTTTGTTACATGACAGAGATATTAAATACCAGTTAACTTTAACTTTTCAAACACTCAACAGATTGCTGAAACATTTCAGTGCTATTAGCCTTATTATCTCCTACATTTTTAGTCACTGTTTATTTTGGTGCCTCTAACAAATTTCCTCCTTTTATAGCAAAACATACTTGCATTTAAAATGTGTTATATTGAGTTTTTGCATTCTTAGATGTAGTAGATACACATGTAAAATATGGTATAGTATTAATTCATGCTGACTGCATAGGGAATAAGGATAATCAAATAATTGTAAAATAATCCAAATGGAATCAAATCAATTTTTTTGAGAGTAGCAAATAGTAGTGCATTTTAACAAAGCAGTGAATCTCCTTCACACTCCAGCAGTAACATATGCAGTCCCTTGTTAAACAGGTCCATCTTTTTGTGAAGTCAGACCGTGATTCTGTAAACACTTAAGCATCTGCAAAACACTCTAGGGAGCTAGTTCTGTTAGCTAAGTCTGTGCCTAGAATGTGTGCAAGATCAAAGCCAAAATAATTCATCTGTCCAGACACTAAAGATGTTCAATGCTGTTTGTTTTTCTTGTTGTCTTCATGCCATTACTCATGATTACTGGGTGTGTCTACATGTGTATTGGATGCAGGATCAGTTTGCTTGTGAGTACCGTATTTTTGCACATATCCTCCATGTTAGCTAAGTCTGTGCCTAGAATGTGTGCAAGATCAAAGCCAAAATAATTCATCTGTCCAGACACTAAAGATGTTCAATGCTGTTTGTTTTTCTTGTTGTCTTCATGCCATTACTCATGATTACTGGGTGTGTCTACATGTGTATTGGATGCAGGATCAGTTTGCTTGTGAGTACCGTATTTTTGCACATATCCTCCATCCACGGGTATAAGCCGCAATAACCTGTGGGAAATTGTATTTTTGTAAATAAATCCAGGTATACGCTGCACCCGTGTATTCCCCATGGCGGCATATACATGCACAGCCCGGCCTGCCCAGGCCCAGCGGGGAGGCTACGCAGCCCAGCCCTCCATGGCCACAGCAGAAGCAGTGCAGCCCGGCCTGCCTGGGCCCAGTGGGGAGGCAGTGCAGCCCGCCCTGGCCCTGGCCCCGGCCCCCTCAGCGGCCCCGGCGGCAGC